TAGCCATAACTACAAAAGAAAATGGAAGCCGGCGGTCGGCAACCTCCATATCACAACCTCGACACCCCTGTTTTAAAATCAATTCACCCCCAACAGGTGATACAACACATATAGGAGATGCTAACTGTGCCAACTCCAGCCCCAAAACAGATGCAAATGTAGCAGATATAAAAGAATGGGATGCACCCGTATCAATCAACACATTGGTAACCGAGTTGCAAAACAAGAAGGTACATCTCACAACAGATGGAGCAGGTACAAGATCCTGCGCAGTAATAGCATACACGCGCCCAGAAGGTCTCTAATCAACCTGCTCATCCCTAGGAGCAAAAGACTGCTGCACAGACTGGGATGATAAAGCTCCTTGATTGGCCCTCGAGGCCTGAACAGACTGTGCTGGCTGAAAACTCTGCGTCTGCCTAGAACCAGACGCACCCGACGTGGCACTCAACTACAGGAAAAACCTATTCAGGTGCCCCGCTTGACCACACTGATAACAAGACAGTGGCTGACCTCTGCCCTGACTCTGGCTCTGAGGTCGAGCCAAAGATGAAGCAGCTCTTTGACCTCCTCCCCTCTGCGGGCAAGTTGGAGACTTGTGACCCAGTTGGCCACATTTGTAACAAGTAATGTCTCTCTGACTGCCTCTTCTAGAACCTACACTCGGCACTGGAAAGGTAGATCTAGCAAAAGCTCCCTAGGACTACTGAGGGTTAGAACCCCTCTGCCTCCTGCCATCCCCCTGGCCATCCTAACTCCTCTTGGAGCCCCTCAACCTCTTCTCCTCCTCCTCATGCATCATAATCTCCATATGGGCTGCAGCATCCACTAGACGCCCATACTCTTGAGTCATAGACCCTCCAACCCTCATCTTGAGCCCGTGCTTCAACTTCCTCTCAAATTCCAAACAACGGCGTTCCTCAGACGCCACAAGCTCAGGTGCAAACCTGGATAAACTAGTAAATGTGGCCTCAAACTCGGCCACTGATGAACTTAGCTACTTAGGCTGGCAGAACTGGTCTCTCAACTTCACCCTGACAGCTGGAGACAAGAATTTCTCTTGGAAAGCATCTACAAAGGCCTCCCAAGTACCACCAATGTGACCCTTCATGAACTTCCACCACTGACCCGCATCCCCCTTTAGCTGGAAAGATGCCAAGGTCACCTTCAATGCCCCGTGTTCGATGCCAAGCGTCTCAAACGTCTTAGTCATCTGCTCCAGCCACTCATCAGCCTTAAGTGGCTCTTTCGGATCCCCCAAAAACTCATCCGGATTAGACCGAAAAAACTCCCTCTTCAGAAAGGAAGGCCTTGCATTAACAACCTGGGCCTGAACTTGATTCTCAGCTCTAAGAATGCCCATGGATTCCCTCAAAGCTCCTGCTATCTCGCGGGCTAAGGCACCCATGCCCTGTTGACCTGCTGGCTCGGCCACATTGGCCTGACCAACGCCCTCCTGCTGCGCTAGAATCTCATCCGGTATAGGCATCTCCTGCCTACCACGCCTACCTCCGCGTCCTCGTCCTGACATCCTAATAAAGGTAACAGGAACATTAGCACATTGACAAATGTGCCGAAGCTAAAACACTCGCGTCCTAATGCATGGACAACAGTAATTCATTCCACGTAAGCACATAATCACATCAGCACTTACGAATTTCATTTCTGGATAATGACAGTCCCGAAGCGTTGCTAGAGTTCCGGTTAGAAACAACATTGATCAAGTGCTTTTCCAACAAGACTCCCAGAAACCCAAGGATCCAATCAACATCCTAGAAGCTACATTCCATACCCATATTTGTCACATAAACATGTTATCAAATAAACACATAACATTACATCTAAGTCTTTAACAGGCGAGACAAACCCATTGTGGTACTAACCACTTCCCGCGTACCCAAAGTATTCGAACCCGGTACGCTTTGATACCAAGTTGTAACGCCCTCAAAATAATACATAAAACCCAACAATCTTGACATGCTTAGAGATAAGAGAAATAAACATCTTTCCATTTATCAGAGTATTCATTACAAAAGTATTACATGTTGACAACAAAAGTAAATGCCCTACGGGCTTACAACTTTCCAAGCCAACACTTGGATACAAGAAGAGAGTACTAACTCAAATACATATTAAGCCCTTGGCTTGAATTTACATGTAATACATCAAAAGGTAGCAAAACAACAAAAAAGTCTTCAACTCCCAGAACCTCCCAAGCTATGTCCTTGGAGATGGCATATCACCTGGACCTAAAAATGATATCCCATATAGGGTGAGCCACAGCCCAGTAGAGATATACTAAACCAATTATGAATAATGACTAAAACAATAGCATTTGATAGATGGTTAACACTTATAAACCACATTATAACATAATCCATTTCCATGACATAAAGTCCATGTTTCATTTCATATTCCTTTACTTATACAATTTCCATTCATAAACATGGCTCAGAACCTGGCCAAATAATTCAATGTGACTACATCCCATAATAACACTTCCATTGTTCACAATTCATATGAAACAACAATTCATATCACAACACTTCCATACTTCAATTAACACACATATTCACTGTATTAACACTTCAATCTAATACACATATTTGCTGTATCATTGGAGTCCATCCCCTATCTCCTCCCAAACAGGTTTGAGAGTCCATCCCTCATCTTTCCTCAAACCATGGAGTACATCCTCTATCTCCTCCCACACAATACATATATTCCAAGTATATAAACAATTGTCATATACAAGGGACCAGTCAATACACATTTTTGATGTATTATTCCAACCGTCATATTCAATAACATACTCAATGTGATTAGTTTCGGTTTTCCCTAATCAACATGTAGTGTCTACAACAATCAAGACTATCCTCCACCAATAGCCCAAAGCAGTTATTTCTAAATAGAAAATAAATGCATTAAATAGATATAATATCAACTTATTCCATAGGTGAGTGATTAATTTATTCAACTATACCATTCAATCCCATAATTTTCCAATTTCATTATTCTCAACTCAATTTCATATTTCCACATTTTCCCAAAATTAATTATACTAATTAATTTATTTTCTAATTAGGGCTTTCTCCGCCCTTTATCACATATCAACCCAAAGGCTCAAATTCAACAATTTGACAACAATAGTTCCATTTTCCAAACCTTACATACACATGGAGTTTAATATCGTAAAACCCTTCTTTTATAAATTACAAACCAAACCCTACTTTCTCAAAAATTACCCAACAATACCAACATATCAAAATGCCCAAAATTTAAGAAAAAACTCATAAGATGGAGTAGGGTATCCCTACCTCGAAATGAAGAACTCAAATGGAGAGGATGACCAAAAACCAAAATGCTCCAAATCCCCAAATTTTCAGATTAAAAGGAAGTCCTCGTGACCCTCTATCTTTCTTACAAAGAGACTAGGCTAGAAACTCACTGGAAGTAGATCAATTCCTAGAGAGAAGGTGTATAGAGAGGGAAGAGAGTACGGTTCTAGGGTTTTGAAAACAAAAGAGATAAAAAAAGTGAAGTGTTTCTCCGCTGCTGCCTACTGATATAACACAGGCTCGCTCGAGCGAAGGATTGGTCGCTCGAGCGACCAGGCACAAAGAATACTCGCTCGAGCGAAGAAAGTCTCGCTCGAGCCAACAATTCGAAACTTCAGGTCTGCAACCCAGAAGCAAGCTCGAGTGACAGAATTCTCGCTCGAGCAAAGAAACTCAAAACATACACCTCGCTCGCTCTAGCCAAGAAATGCAACTCTTAGGTCCAGAACCAAACACAGACGCAAGTTCGAGCGAAGGACTTCTCGCTCGAGCCACCAAACATATCAACCGACTCTCGCTCGAGCTAAGGAAACCTAGCTCGAGCGAAAGATCTAAAACAAAAAGCTCGCTCGAGCGACAAAGTCCTTGCTCGAGCGAAGACATCAAAACCTGGGCAGCAACCATTTGTTTCAAAGCTCACCAAACCTGTTACAAACCTGCCCAACACATCTTATAACTCAACCATAAGGAATTAAAGGATGGAAATGAAACAAATGCAACAACACTCAACCACGGAACCTAAGTCTAGAATACTGTACATAAAGGGAAAAACCTGGGATCGCTATAGGTCGTCCCACCGAACGTCCTACTAGACGTCCCACCGGTCGTTCGGCAAGTTGACCGGAACAGTATAATTTATTTTATTTTATTTTTTCACATGTTAATTTTTATATATTCGAAAAAAATATTTTCTGAATTTTTAAAATTTTTTTATGAGCTTTAATAGAATTTTGAGTTGTGTGTTTGGTTATAAGTTGTAAGTTTTTGTATCAAATATCATATGTTACATAAGAAATTCCCCACTCAATTCAAAACTCTTTCGCCAAACAAAATTTTCACACTCAAATTATAATTCCAAAACTCACAAACTCAAAATACAACTCTTACTCTCAAATCATATTTCGAAAACTCTACTAAACGCAACCTTATTTCTTTTATAACTCTCATTTTTAATCTTCCCAAAAGTGAAGAGATTGATAGAGAAAAGAAACTAACAGATTTTATATTTCTATAATATCAATTTTGTCCCTGTAAAAATAAAAGATATAAAATGATTGACACCCATATCTTCAATGGCTTTTCGTATAAAAATATTATTTTAGTAATACAACATAAAACAAATTTTTTTTTTCTTATGAAATATAACCAAATAAGAATGAGAGAAATTACAATTATTTCTTTTCTTTTATTGCTTACTTATTCAAAAAAAAAATAGGAGAATTGACAATCATTTATTTTCTTTTATTTCTTCTTATAACTTAAATAATCAAAATTTTTTTATTTTTTATTTTTTTTCTAAAGTTCCCAAACATAGTGTAATTCCCGTTCCAAAAAAATTGGGTTCCCTCCAATTAATTTGTTAGACGAAATCGTTGTCCCTTCTATTATCTATTTTTCCTAATTGATTAGTTTTTTTTCCTAATTGATTACTTTTTCCCTTATATCTCTAAGTTCTGAAAGAGGCTTGCTATTGGAGGTAGTCAACGAAGAGTCACGAGTGAAGCTTCAGCATCGGATCGGAGGTCGTTCGAAGTACCATTGTCGCACTGCAGCACCATCGTCGGAGGTAAGAGTCCTTTGCCTACCTTTTGATTCCCCTATTAGCTTCATTTTTTTCACTCTTTGTTGTTGTTGCCTCCATTAGTTTCTTTTTCCATGTTTTCCCCTTTCCTTCTCTTTATATTGCCATTCCTTCTACCTTTTTTTGATGGTGTTTCTACTAGGCCATGAGTGATTAGAGAAAGGTAATGTCATTTTAGGGTTTGTTTCAATGAAAACAAGAATCAACTATACATTTTTAAAATCTGCCTCTTATTATTAGTTTATACATACATACATATATATAAATATATATATTGGTTAACAAAGATGAAAGAAGCGAAAATAGACAAACCCAAAAATAAAAAATAGAGTTTTTTAGAGAGATTTTTGTGGGTCTCTTTTCACTAAAGAAATTTTACAGAGTTTTGATGAGCAAAAAAATGCTTTACCTCGTATTATTAATTATTGAAATTCATATATGTTGTGCTTTTGTATGTTTAAATTGTGAATTTTAGTGGCACTTACCACCTGTTTGATAAAATGTCTATTATGTCTTGTACTTGTTAAACCTGTAATATATGTTTGGTTTTTTAACTATTCCTTTCAAAGCTAGCCAACTAAAGAATTGCTTTTTTGGGGGTGCTATGCTTTCCAGGTGAAACCTTGTGACGGTCAGGTTCCTTTCCTTTCTCTTTCTTTCTTTCTCCGCTTCGTTCTCCATCTGCCTTCGTTGGATTTGAAATGTCCGGGATGGTTCCCTAGATTGGAGTTCTAGTGTTTTTCTGTTCGGTGTTAAATTTCGCTTGTTCCGGAGGATGCACGGGTGAGTCTGGAGTGCCGGGAGCGAAGCAGAATATTTGGGTGGCTGGGCTTGGGCCGCACGTGCAGGGCCCTAGGCCGCAGGTGCGAGGCTGGGCCGCTCGAGCGGTGGGCTAGGCTGCATGAGTGGTGGAGGCTTAGACCCAAAAAATTCGATTCTGCCTAGAGCACACGAGCGGAGAAAATGGGCGGCTTAGACCCAAAAAATTCGATTCTGCCTAGAGCACACGAGCGGAGAAAATGGGCCCCACGAGCGGTCAAGGTGGCCGCACGAGCGGTGGAGAAGGCCACACGAGCGGCAGACTGGACAATCCGTGCCCGGTTTTCTTATAACACTTCTAACTCATTTTTCTCTCATTCTAAACCTAATTTCTCTCCTCCTCTCTAGAAAACATCTCAATCACCCAAAACTCTTTGATTTTTGTGATTCTTGGAGCAAGATCATCAACATTTTCCCTCAAATCTTGAAGATCCAAGGCTAGGGCCTCACTTGGGTAGTGGAGATCCGAAAATTTCTCTCATCTTTGAGGCTAGGGTTTCATCTCTCCTTTCATCAAAGACTTTGAGGTAGGGATTACTTGAGTTATATATACTAGTTTTGCTCTTTGGATGTTGATTTAAAAATGTTCTTGAAGTTTTGTGTTAATTTTAGATTTTGGTTCAACATATTGAGAGTCTTGAATATGGGTTTGAAATCTCTAACTTTTTACTACTTCTTGAGGGTTTCTCTCTATTAAACTCATGATGAATGGTTATGATGGAGTTCTTTTAGAAAATGATGAAGTTTTGCTTTCAAGGAAAACCCTAGAAATTGGGGCTTTTTGAAAAATAATGAAGATGCCATGAAATTATCTATTTTCTTGTATCAAGAGGATGTTTGAGAGTTAGTCTCACCAAATGTCTAACAATATAGCAACTTCTTGATGTATAGATATATATATATATATATATATATATCTAAATGGAGGCCCTCTTTAAAAAAAAAAAATTCTTTGATAAATTCACATTTGTGTAGAGTGGTAAAATGGTGAGTTGTTGAGTGCCATAAGTGTTGTAAAATGCCTAATTGTAAAGTAATGGGAAATGAAATGAGAGATAGCATGCTAGACATATTGAAAGTTGGTTATGATGAATTATTGTTGAGGAATTGTTGTGGTGTGTTGAGGACACATGACTATTGTGCGAAATGAGAAATTGTAACTATGTGTTGAAGACATATGGGTATCTTGTGGAAGAACATGGTAAGGAGGAAATGGAAATGTGATGTTGAATATTGTTGTAGATATGTTTTTGAATATAAAGAAATGCTATGAGTTAGTAGTTATTGCATTATATTCTCAATTGTTTTATTGTCAGTATTGCATATTTTGACATGAGTTGGAAAAGCATTCATTTTGAGAAAGATTATTGTAATGAGAACTAATAGAAATGTGTATGGGGTAAATACGTTGGTAAGTCCGGATAGGAGGTGTAGATGAATTTGATAAGTTGGCCTGAGTGTCCAGGGTGAAAGACCCGAAAGCCGCGCGGATAGGTGTCGAGCCTTCCAGTTAATACCGGTAAAAATGACAGTTTGGTAATACTCGTAGAGTCTACTTGCAGACCCCAGCCTGGCATTACCAGGGTCGTATTTACCACCCCTATTGATTTAAATATTGGAAGTTTGAAATTGATGATATTGCCAAATATTATCGAGAACATGGTGAATTTAATTTGTAGATTGAATATTATTGAGAGCATGATGATTTTGAACTATTGCGTCAAAATAAGATTTCCCTTCATTATTGGCACTTGCATGGCATTACATATGCATTTTTAACGTTGATGGAATTGGCATAACTGTATATACTTTGTGAGGAATCTCTACTGGACTTTATGCTCACCCCTATGGGAATTGGTGCAAGTAAAGATGTGGCGACCCCGCCAAGCTAAGGGCGTGGAGATGTTTTGAAGAAGAGTAGTTTGACTCTTATTTTGTTGTGATATTTGTTGTAAGCCAAGGGCTAATGTGTTTGGGTCCGAGAGACCATTATGTGTAACCGGACTGTTACCTTGGAACTTGTAAGCCCTTGAGGGCCTTATTTGTTGTGATTCAATGATTTCTTTTACATGCTCTAGATTCATGTACTAGTTTGTAAATAAATGTATACTGACATGTGAGAATACTTTGGTAAACCTTTGGAACTATGTAAATGAATTTGGTTAATGTCTCATTTTGAAGTGGGTTGATGTAATAGTTGTGTGGGATTATTTTCGGGCCGTGACAAACCTCTAGCTCGATTGAGTTATCGCTGCTTACACACACATTTTGAAAGTAAAATATGTTGGTTTACCATATTATGTTACTAAAAGTGGACATTGATTAAGAGTACAAGCATGGTCTCGCTGAAAATTTTATAAATGGTTCAATGGAATTATGTTTGGTTGGATATATCATGTGGTCTCTCTAGCTGGGGCAAAACATTCATCATTGAGGGATGATTCATTTACCATGCCCAATGTAGACCATGTTGCTGGTTATCCAAAATTCTCATTATTTAGGTGCGTGTATGGCTTGCTGAAAATTTCATTAAAGTTGAGCTGTTGTGTAGAGTCTTCCATCATTTGTGTCTGCCTTTTTCTATGTTCTATTTATTCTTCATTCATCATTCGTAGTTTAGGATTTGTGTATGTCAAGAATTAGTGTTAACTTTTTTTTTTCCTTTAAAAAAATAAAATTAAAAATGAAGTGTAAAGCAATAACTCTAGTAGCATGAATATTTTGTTGTTGCATCTCACTATCTTCATCGCCACTTGTGCCTGTATATCATGGTGAAGAACAAGATATTGACCTTAGGAAGTCAGAAACAGAAAAGATTGGATAGCCTATTTTGATAAAGCCAACTCATGGAGGTGGAGGGAAGGTGTGACAATTGTTGAGTTCCCTCTGAACATTTTTCTGATACTCTCTTGAATATGGGAGGCCATCAAGTAATATGTCGTATGCACTATAGATTAGAACAAGCCTGGGTATGACAAAGCAGGAGTAGTATATAAACTACGGGAAAATAGAACAGAAAAAACAATTGTAAGGCTTTACTGCAGTCTATAGTATTTTTTTTTTCCCCCTTTTACAGTCAGCTCCTCTTTGATGTTTGTTTACTGCCTTCAACTAAGTTACACCTACCCTATCAAAGTAAACATTTCATGCAATATTTGTATATTCACGTTTCTTCCATTCTTTATTAATATTATATAGTGCAACTTTTGTTCAAACCTCTAACAACATGCTTAGCAAAGGTCATAATAGGAGTGTCCTTGTTATATGGACATCAATTATGTTTGAGATGAAATTCTCAAGATATGTGTCATTCTCAGGGTATGAGGATTGTGCAAAGTCTAAATGAATTTGTTGACTCATTCTTGGGGGCACAACGTGAGGCTACTGTTTCTTTTGGCATAAATACAATGTTGCTAGAGAAATATATCACACAGCCAAGACACATTGAAGTCCAGATACTTTTATTTTTACATGTCTCTTGTTTCTATTCATCCATACTAAAGTAATGTTATCTGTCAAATTCAGCATGTCCTATATCATACCCAGTTTCCTTAATTTTATTTATTTATTTATATTTGGGTTTAAAATCTGTAGATGATGCATTGATACTTTTATTTAATGGCATTATAAGAAACATATGTCTATAAGACTTATGTACCGATTCATTGAGTGTTCTGAATTTGCTTAATGTTATAGGTATTTGGGGACAAACATGGCAACATCTTACATTTATACGAAAGAGACTGCAGTGTGCAGAGAAGACATCAGAAAATAATTGAAGAAGCTCCAGCTGTATGCAACTCTATCTATATTTTAAGTTTAGGTTTCTTGTTGTAGATGCCTATACTTTTGACAGAAACACTGTTTTTGCAGCCAAATGTCCTGAATGACTTTCGTTCTCATGTGGGTCATGCTGCTGTATGTGCGACCAAGGTCTGAATGAGCATTCTTGTCAAGGCAATCAGTATTTATTATCTCATCTCTCATATTTATGAACTTGATATATCTTAATTTTTATGAAAATGATGATTGTTCTCCAGAATTTAAGACATTTTCTTCAAACTATGTGTGAAAATTTTAGGTGCTAAATTGCTATGCTGTTGATCTAATGGTCATGCTTACGCCACAAATTTCATAACTTCATTGGAACTTTGCCCTCGAGTGCTGTCATAGTTGATGGACAATGATTGGGGCCAGAATAATGGAAAGTTCATATTACGAAGGCGATAAAGCCTCGTCAAAATTTGGTGAAAGGTCATCAAGGTGTCAAAACAATTAGAGATGCACTTCACAAATGTGTAGCTTGGCCTTCAGTTGATGTAATGCACATTCACTAATACTATATTTATTATATTTTCAAATCTTAGTGGTAGTTAAATTTTTATACATCTGCAGATTGAGGATCCACTTGCAGACTATAGATTGAGGGGAGTTAGATAGACCATGTTGATAATGCATGCTTTTTGGAACTCTTATTTTGGCGCTTGTGTTTTTAGACAAATATTTTGGAACTAGTTGCTACATTTGCAGATTGGAGGGAGCTAAATGGACCACGTTGATGATACACATGCTTTTCGAGACTTTTTATTTTGGCACTTGTGTTTTGAGACAAACATTTTGGAACTAGTTGCTGTATTTCCAGATTGAGGGAGCTAAATGGACCATGTAAATGATGCACATATGCTTTTTGGGACTTTTATTTTGGCACTTGTGTTTTGAGACAAATATTCTGAAACTAATTGCTACAAGTGAAATGTATTTTGGAACTAATTACTACGTGTTTCATGTATTTTGGAACTTTGCTACATGTGACTTTTTATTTTGGCACTTGTGTTTTGAGACAAACATTTTGGAACTAGTTGCTGTATTTCCAGATTGAGGGAGCTAAATGGACCATGTAAATGATGCACATATGCTTTTTGGGACTTTTATTTTGGCACTTGTGTTTTGAGAAAAATATTCTGAAACTAATTGCTACAAGTGAAATGTATTTTGGAACTAATTACTACCTGTTTCATGTATTTTGGAACTTTGCTACATGTGACATGTATTTTGGAATAGATTTTGAATACTGAATATGGTGTATGGGTTTCTATGGATATAATATTGAATGTATGGAAGCTTTAATCAGTTATACACTTCTATTGAATGACTTTCATTGAGTACATTAACAGGTATTGAATATGAATGTATAAACAGAATCAGTTTAGCAAATGGTTCACAATTACTGGCGGTTTAATTTCGTCACTAATAGAAAGACACATTTAATTTTACAATATATTTAATGGCAGTTATTTATTGTCGTCAATTGCTGACATCTTTTGCGGCGGTATCATACAACCATCTTTCCCTTCAAAAAACCGTCTTTAATGGAACTACATTTACAACAGTTCTACAAAAAAATGCTGCTAATTTCTATGGACGTCGAATTCTTTATGTGGCTGTTAATAACCACCATAGATACCACCATTATTATTAACGGCGGTAATGGTACTGTCTTAAAATTATTCTTGACACTTATATAGATGACAGTTTCAATTTTTGTCATCTTACCGCTGTTAAAAGTATTTGCAACGGTTATATACCTATTAACGATGGTTTGTAACTGCCGTTAAAGGTAAACTCTTGTGTAGTGATTGTTTAAAATTGAAATATAATTACAAATTAATATCTCAGTGATTTTTTTATTTTTTATTTTTTAAAAGGGTCTAAATTCAATAATAAGTTTAAGGATTAAGCCCATCTTTGTTCTTTTTGTGAATCCAATACAAGGAGTTCTGCAATTGTGGCTGTCCACGATTTGAATGATGTCAACAGTCGTTCTTTTTATGATTACATTGCTATGCAGTCTGGCTTTAAGCTTGAAATTTCGCTCTACCTCTTTTAGCAGTGTTGTTAGCATTCACATTTCTTATTTCACAAGGACTAAAACTTCCATTATCTATGGTGAAATGTTTTTGGTGTTAAAGATGGAGTTTGACATCAAAAATTTATATTTATGCCATAAATTTTATTGATCTATTGTTATCATAAATCTTTATATGGGTTGTATGTATCCAGTATGGGTATGGGTACAGCTACGTGCGTATTGGGTACACAAAATACATATCCGAAACTTTACTTTTTTAAAAATCGAGGGTGTGTTTGGTTTGGTTTTGGGAGATAAATTTTCAAAAAAAAATCTTGGGAAAAGAGTTTAGAAATTTTTTTGGTTTGTTTGGTTGTATATTTTGGAAATGGTTTTGAAGTGTAAAAGTTTGAGATCATTCGATATTTTGTTATAGTTGAGTAGATGTGTATGAGAGAAAAAATGATTGAGAAGGAGAGCAGAGAGAAAAAGTGATTGATTGATATGTAGGAGATAGAAAGTGATTTTGATTTTTTTTTTTTTCCCAAAATCACTAAACCAAACAAAATTTTTAAAAAAAATTTCCAAAATTTTTTTCTAAAAAGCAAACCAAACAAAACCTAAATGTTTGTACAACATGGGTGCGTGTTCAATACTTTTGTGGATACACCAGGACATAAATATTTTTTTGTTTAAATCTCAGGGTACTAAAATACATATATTGTGTATTTTTTAGAACTCCAAAAATAAATAATATTTTTGTAAATATCACAAATTTGTTTAGAAATGTACTTAAATTAAATGGGCTATGACTGAGTAAGCTTGTGTGTGTGCATGTGAGACACAGAGAGAAAGACTATATATGTATGCTTATGTCTATATTATATAAAAAGGTTTAGTTCAGAATATGGTAAGAATGCTTATTTCTATATTATATAGAAATGTTTAGTTCAGAATATAGTAAGAAGATGAGGGTATTGAGGTCTATTTACAAGTGTCATTAACAGATGTTAGGGTGTGTTTTAGTTTACAAATCACATGGGGTAATGTGCTTATTTCTTAATGTCAGGGGATTATTTTGCAAATTTAGAAGTTGACTTTTGATGGGTCGGGTAGTTATATGCCGTTGGTCCTAGCAAAGAAGAGGAGGATGAGTTAAAAATGAGAGAGGTATACATACATATAATATAGAGAGGTTTAATTTAGAAGAGAATGAGATTATGAGAGTATTTAGGTCCATTTACATATGTTGTTAATAGATTTTAGAAATGTGTTTTAGTCCACAAATCACTTGGTTTGTGCACATGGCCCAAACCATAGGGAGTGAAGTGAAATTTACTCTAATGAAATAAGGGAATTAGAATTGTTTGCTACTCTTTGCTATGTCTTCTAGATTCACATCAATTAGTAATTAAATACAAACACATTCCAACCAATTTTCAAAAAAATATAAATTTGTATCAAATTAGAACTAGTAACTAATCCCAATGTCTTCCATGTTTGCAGGAACTTATATTGACAAGAAATGTCCATTCACAGGCAATGTTTCTATTAGGGGCCGCATACTTGTTGGAACCTGCCACAATGCAAGATGATGAGAACAATCATTGTTTGACAAAACAACCTTCATTTTGTCAAGAAATACCAAAGGCAAGACCAATCACTTTCATTTTAATCCATACTATTTTTTCTACCATTTTTATGAAAATTTTGAAATGTGTGATCAAAAATTTTTTTTTTTGATACATAAAAGTCAATATTATTAACGAAAAAGCATCAGGGCAATATTAACAAATACACCGACAAAGAATCAATAGAAAAACAAAAACTAAGCAAGAAGAGAATCTATAGAATCCACAAAACCAAACAAATCTAGGGACACTCTCCCCGACACCTGTAACGCCCTCAAAATAATAACATTAAACCCAACACAATCACTTTCATTTTAATCCATACTATTTTTTCTACCATTTTTATGAAAATTTTGAAATGTGTGATCAAAAATTTTTTTTTTTGATACATAAAAGTCAATATTATTAACGAAAAAGCATCAGGGCAATATTAACAAATACACCGACAAAGAATCAATAGAAAAACAAAAACTAAGCAAGAAGAGAATCTATAAAATCCACAAAACCAAACAAATCTAGGGACACTCTCCCCGACACCCAACTATACAGAAACACTAAAAATTGATCTTTCAAATGAGTCACTGATTCTTCTTCTCCCTAAACGACTCTCTTGACTTCTGACTCATTTTTATTAAAGCATATCGGTCTACCGTCAACTTGTCGATTACGCTCTAACCAAATCATCCATATTAGACAAAAGGTGCCAAAGCGCATACCTTCCTATGCCTCTTTCCAACCCTACTCCCTCTACAACTATGAAGGACATCCTCAACACTTTGTTGTTGTACCCAAATCACACCAAACAAAGAAAAATTCAACACCCAAATCAAACAGTGAAGAAGAAGATGAGACACCGACTTCGCATCCCTATGGCACATACATTACCAATTGACCATAATCTATAGCGATCCCGGTTGTCCTTTTACTGTTCTGTTGTATTCCGGACTCGGTTCCGTGGAGTTGGTAGTTGTATCTATCTTGTTGTCGTCCTTTAATTCCATTTGTTTGAGTTTTAGGATGTTTTGGGCAGGGTTGTTACAGGTTGGTTAGGTCTTGGTTTCAATTCCTTGTTGCCCAGTTTTTAGGCGGTCCGCTCGAGTGGGTATTCTTGCGCTCGAGCGGGGATTGCACACCCCCAATATTTTGTGTCCCTGCAAAACTTCTGCAGGTGTGATTTCTACGCTCGAGCGGGTTTGTTGGCGCTTGAGCGGGTAGTACTTTTTGGGTGTAAGTTCTGGGAGGGGAAAATCTACGCTCGAGCGGACTGGCTTTCGCGCTAGAGCGGATGTGCTTTATTCTTGTGTCTTGGCGCTCGAGCGGGCCTTCTTGCGCTCGAGCGTGTCCAGATTTTTGTTCTTGGCGCTCGAGCGTTGTGTTCTCCGCTCGAACGGGAATGTCGTATATCAGTTGGCAACTGGGCATTTTAAAATCACTTTTTACTTTCTCTCTCT